CAACATTTGTAAGTCCGGAAGTATCAAACAGAATATCATGTTCAATAACTGATGCAATCTTCATCATCAATAAACCCAACTTAACTCATGTAAAACTAAAGCTGAGGTCTTTCTTAGGTAGATTGGAGACAATTCCATACCCAGTCCACCACACTCTAGAAATTATCAACCTAAATAAAAATGAAGTCAATTTAGCTTGTCCTATTGTTTGTAAATTTAACGAAACAGAGCTGGACCCTGCTTTACATGGCAAAAGATGCCCAGCCCCTAGCTTAGATGAAATTAACTATGAGGTGGTAGCTCTTCTACTCTGAATTTTGAAGTTATAGCTACTTAAAGCATTCAACGATATATGGGAAACAACAATTATACCTTCTGATTAGAGGCTGGTTTCAATAATCCCTGTTTCCAAACCTGGTAGAGATCCTTCCCTCTTGTCTAGCTCGAGACCCATCGCCCTCATTTCCTGCCTTGCCCAGATTTTTAACATAATGGTCAAAAATAGACCAGTGGTTTCTCAAAACCTATCAAATATTAAGTTAAAACATAATCTGCTGTCTGCACTCAATTCCCAATTTAACCTAGTTCCCCCGACCTCTCCTACCTACTGGCCCACTGATCCTAACCGAAATCCCGATGTCCTTGATTTCTTCATCCACAGTGGATTAGGTTCCCTCAACAATTCCATTGCACGCCTCGATGGACTTTCCTCAGACCACAGTCCATTAATATTCCAAGTATCACTAGCTCATATTCCTAAACCCTCTCCACCGTCCTTTATCAGAGGTCCAGTCAACTGGAAACTCTTCCATCAAATCCTTTCCGAACAAATTGACCTCAGAATAACCCTGAAAACCCCAGAAGACCTCGATAATGCCGTACATTCCTTTACCACCACCATTCAACAAGCAGTCTGGACTGCTTCCTCCCCTAATCATTCACCACTAATTCCTTAGAAAAATAAGTTACCTCAACACATCATCGAGTTAATCCAAACCAAACGCCGTACCAGAGTGTTATGGCAACACACCAGACATCCCACAGATCGCCGTTCCTATAATTATTACTCTAAAAAAGTCAAGCAAGAATTATCCAACTTCAAATCCCAATCCTTTAACTCTTACCTTACCTCCCTCTCCGCTCACGACAATTCCCTCTGGAATATTACCAAAAAAATTCTAAAATCCCAAAATATTTCCCATCCCCTCCGTCAAGACGATGGCTCCTGGGCAGCGTCTGATGAAAACAAAGCTAAGGAATTCGCCTAACACCTCTCCTGTACATTTACTCCTCATCCTGAATCCCATTCCATCCATACTACAAAAGTAGAAAAATTCCTCCCCTCATCAATTCCACTTTCCCTACCACCAAAAGCAGTTCATCCTTCTAAAGTCAAATATCATTTACAAAAATTATCTTCCAGCAAATCTCCTGGATACGACCTTCTAACTCCACAGATCCTTCATCAACTACCACCCAAAGCGATCATGTTCCTCACATATATATATATACAACTGCATCCTAAGAACTACCCATTTTCCTCTCATATGGAAACATTCCACCATTGTCCTTTTCCTGAAACCAGCCAAACCTTCCAATAATACATCATCCTATAGACCAATCAGCTTACTCCCAATCCTTTCAAAAATATTCGAAAAAATCCTATTAAAAAGAATCCTACTCATAATAGCATCACAAAACCTTCCTACCCATCAATTCGGATTTTGTTTCCAGCATTCCACCGTTCAACAAGGACTCCAAATCGTTGACCACATATCCTCAGCCTTAGGAAGCAAAGATTATTGCTCGGGAGCATTCCTGGACATTGAGCAAGCTTTTGACAGCGTATGGCACACCAGACTACTCTTCAAGCTCAAAACCCACCTACCCCAGTCCTTATATCTAATACTCCGAGCCTACCTCTCTGACCGCTCCTTTCGAGTGCATTGTGGTACAGAATTCTCCAACTGCCATTCAATTGAGGCGGGAGTTCCTCAAGGCAGCGTCTTTGGTCCCGTCCTCTACATTCTGTTTACTGCTGATATTCCTACTCATCCCAAAATCCTCCTGGCAACATTCGCTGATGACACAGCTAAGGAATCCAGATCCTAAAACAGCATCCTCAAACCTACAAAGTCACCTTTCTCTTATTGAACATTGGTGTAATAAGTGGCGCATCCAAGTAAATGAATCCAAATCCAAACACATCACTTTTGACTCAGAATCCTCTGGACGAATGTAAATATTGTATATAGGTGTGAATGTGTTTTATATATTTCAATTTCATATAGCTTCTCTCTATTTTTTAAAAATTTATTTATTATTTTTTTTTTTTTTTACCTATGTATGTTAATTTTCTTATTTTACTTTCCACAACTCTTTTTCTTTTATCTCTATTTTAGTTATCATTTGTATGTATATATTGTGTGAATGTTTTAATGTAGCCCTAATATTAATGCCCTCCAATGCGGCAGAATGTATTAATTTTCAAATAAAAACAAAACTTAATAGGCTTTCGAAAAAACCGTTTAACAACTGACAGCATTATGTTTTTATAAATGAAGCAAAAGTATTCTTCTAGCGAATTCCCTGGATCAGCAAGATGCTCATAACAAAAGTTAAGAATAATTTTAGTAGACACCAACCTTCCAGTTCTAATGATTAATTGGATCATTAATTACCTTTGATTTAGAACACAACACTTGCAAACATCTGAAGGAATGGTTAAAGTTCACACACACATACACACAGGTTTACCCCAAGGGGATCCTTTAAGTCCCACCCTGTTCAATATTTATAAGCACTTAGTAAGCAATATTTATAGTATGCTGATGATTTAATATTTTTACAACTTGCTCAAATATGTCTGAAAGGATACTATACACTGAAAATAGGATTCAATACTTCAGAAGAAAACCTACATGCGCTTAACGTTAAAATAAAATATCAAAATGCAAAACCATCCTTTTTACAAAAAAAAAAAACAACAACTAAACTTTACACAATTTATCATCCATTCAAACAGAGGTGCAATAGAAGTTACAAATACAATAAATGTTTTAGGTGTTTATCTTAATATGAAACTTTGTTGCAAAACAAACATCCAGTGCACTGATAACAAAGCAGCCAAAAGCTTTAACATTATAAAATCAAATTCAGGGGTTACTTGGGCAGCCCACCCACATAATCTACTTACTTTATACAAAACTCTAAACAGACCAATAATAGACTATGAATCCATAATATAAATACGTCTAGCTCACCTCTAATTAAAAAGCTAGATACAACAGAAAACAATGCTCTTAGGTTATGTTTAGAAGCATTCCATATGAGCCTTACATATGCATTGCAAGTAGAAGCAGGCGAATCGCCTCTTCAAATGAGAAGGGGTTGGTTTATAAAAAAATTCCTTTTAAAAGTGGTATTGAACAGTTCCATCCTCTATGTCAAGCCATTCAAAATAGCATCCTAAACATTCCGAAAGTAGGAATCATAGCCCAAGAAACAAAACGCTCATTTAACACATTTGCCATTAACCCCAGACCACGCGATCTCTGTACCCCCATTCCAAAGTCACAAATCGCTATAAAAACCAACCCCAAACTATTCCAATCAGATTTTCCCTGGGTACATCATCCACCAACAGTTCTAAAACAAAAAATGCTGGAAGTATTGTCTGAAGAGAATAAAAATCATCACAAACTTTATACAGATGCATCTAAAGATAAAAACAAAGTTGCTGTCAGGATATATGATGCCCAATATAGCCGGAATACATCCATAAACCTCCCTCCAAAATTTAGCATGCTGTCGCTGAAGCTTTGGAAATAGCCAACAGAAAATACAAAAGTAATAATTTTAACAGATTCCACTTCCATATACTATTCACTCAAAAACATGCAGCAACAGCATATTTCATCTTACCTAATAAATAACAGTACAAGAAGTTCATTGTTCAACAAATAACATATTTAAGGTTTAATGGGTTCCAGGTCATGTTGGTTTGTAGGGCAATAAACAAGCTGATATGATAGCAAAAGAGGGTTTTGGAAGAGCAATAAATGCAAAATTACGAATATAGGAATGGTTAATAAATATTATATCGGTTAAAAAATATTTTATTAGTGAATGGCAGGATAGAAATGCCTGAGTCTTGTTCAAAAGGTAAAAGTCATTGCCTTTCGAACAAGATTCATTCACACGATCCAACCTAATGTCTCTCTATGCCCATGGTTCTCCAACACTTGTGTTATGTTAAACAGTAAAGAAATTTCCATATTTACAAGATTGAGAATAAACCACTGTTATACAAATTGCTACTTGCCACTAATTAAAATTATAAAAATGATAAATGCTCAAAATGCAATTTCATCGAGAATCTTTTACACATTATACTGAAATGCAGCAAGTATGATAAATTCCAGAATAAATACCCCCTCATCCAAAACAATAGCATTTTCATCCAAGAATTGGCAGATCTAGATAGGGATATAATTTAGTTATTGTGCAGATTTATAGAAGGATCTAAAATAAACTTTTAAAAAATAAAATAATTTACATCCATACCTTCATTATTTAATAATATAACAATAGGGGCAGTATAAGACTTCAATGGAAGTCTTAGGCCAACAAAAGAGAAAAAACAAACTCATATTTAAAATACATATTCTATATGCTATTAGCTGATTACTATGTACTAAAATTATAGTCTTTTAATAATATAATATGATTGGCTTAAATTTGATTTATAATTCAGAATAAAAAACATTACCATGGCAGTCAACATATTAAACACAATTGAATATGGTAGACATTTGAATTAGTAACCATATAATTTGGAATTTTTTGGCTCTCACCTCTCAAATAGGATGTAAGAAGCCCCTCATCCTATTGAAAACATACCACACTGATGGCTCATTTTTCCTTTCATGTATTCTATATTATATTGATTAAAATTTTCATAGCTGTGTATTATATTAACTTTTCCTTTTCTTTTTCAGCTTTCACATTCATATTTAAAAATAAAGCCTGATTTAGACCTTTACACACAGTTTTCAAAAGTGATATATGTTATTCCTGACTGTAATAAAAATGGTAAATTAAGATATTATAAAATTAAATTAAGTTAGTTGAAACCTGATAGCTTAATGATGATGTTTAGATTTTAAAATTACGTCTTGAAAGTAATTTAATGTTGCTAATAATAATGTTTCAAGACATTTGACTAGTTAATATAGATCAAATTACTTTCTAAAACTTACTTCTTTTTTAAGTAATGAAATAAAAAAAATGTTCATTTATATTTTCGAAAAAATTTAATTATTAACAAAAAATCATTCATATAATGGTATCAGGTGTATACGATGTTTCTAATTAAAATATAATCATTCATATAATGGTATCAGGGGTATAGGATATTTCTAATTAAAATATAATCTAGATTCAGCGATGCTAGCATGTACAGATCCCAGTTGAATGAATTGTCTGAGTGGTTACTTGTGGTTAATATTAGATGTTCTTCAATTTTTTAAATGAAATACTGGGTACTAATTCTAAATTTCCATCACTGTTCTAATGTAACGCTGAGAACTGAAATTTTATGAAATTACATCATAATATGTCACTCGCATTATTTTTTTTTTTCATTTACAATAATTTAGAAAATCACATATTTATTTTAGACACATATTTATTTTAAATCTTTATTGTATATTAAAAAGTAGATTAATAATTAATAATTTTTAAAAAATATCATTTTTCAATCAATAATACAAAAAGATGGTTTTAATTTTACAATATTTTGAGATTAACTTTGTTATCAGGAACCATGGATATTAACAAGTTGCCTGTTGATATGAAAGCTGCTACTAAAAATTATATTGACATATGTTGGAAAAACAAAAAAATATCTAATGAAATTAAACAAATACTTTCTACAATACAAGAAAATATGATAGTTTTATTAATGGGATCAGCTGGAGATATTTCGGAACCTTGGAATTATTGGGATAAGAACCAATATGGTAATTACTCAGCGACTCCAATTTAATATAATACAAATATGTATTTCTATAGATATTTAGTTTTAATTAGTATGGGTTAGCTGGCCCACACTTATAAAAGCTAACCTGAAGTCGCACACGCTATTGGTAATTATAAAAAATTACAAACATAAAGAATAAATGAATTTTAGTCCATTAATAAAGTGACTGAATTAGAGACATATTTTCTCAAGAGTTTTGTGGACTCCATGATTTAATTGCCCGGAGGATGCCGAATGTCCAAGGGTGCCACTGGTTGTAAATTCTGTCAATTTTCAATTTGTACTCTTTAATACATGGTCTTTTCACTTATTTTGCTTTTAGTTGTCTCATTGTTGACCTAGGGATTTGTTGAAAATATGGTAGTACTGTCACATTAAAGCTAGTGAAACAATTAAAGCTCACCTGATTCATAACAGACACAGCATGAGAAATGAATAATCCTTTTAAAAGTTGTAAAACTTGGAATTTTATAAGTCTACAAATGAGAAAATAGAATTGGTTACACCTAATCAATTCAATAGATACCTAACTAACCAATTCTGAGTTTCAGAGGCTTACTGATCCAACCAACACTGAGTAGCTGATCACTTTATGAATAAAATCATGTTTTATTAAGTTAAAAAAAATTGTGTATTTAACTTGTCAATAAGTCATTTTGAAAATACATATATGTTTATTAATGATTGAAATTTTATCCATATCTCAATAAGTAAATTGGACTTCAGTTAGTGATTGAAATTTTATCCTTATCTCAGTTAGTAAATGAACGGAATCCAGTCAGAGCTGTTGAAATGTGGAGGTGAAGAACTCAAGAAAGCTCTGCATGATTTAATGCTGACCATCTGGGAGAGGGAAGCTATGCCTACGGAATGGGCAACAGCCATTATCTGCCCAATACATAAGAAAGGAGATCGAACAGAATGCGCTAACTATCGAGGAATCTCACTCCTTTCGTGTGCTTATAAGCTGCTCTCTAACATTCTTTTTGAGAGGATCCTCCCGTATTCTGAAAAGGAACTGGGGAAATATCAGGCTGGATTTCGAAGAGGACGCTCAACTACTGATCAACTGTTCTCTCTGAGGATGATCCTAGAAAAGGCTATGGAGCGTAAGGTAGTTACCCACCATTTATTCCTAGACTTTAAAGCAGCATACGACAGCGTTGATAGAACGCAACTATACTGTTCCTTGGAGGAGCTAAGCATCCCTCAGAAGCTCGTACGCCTAATCAAGATGACCATGGACAGCTCGAGATGTAGAATACGCGTCGGTTCTGACGACTCCGAAGAGTTTAAAGTGAGCAGTGGGGTTAGGCAAGGGAATGCCCTCGCCTGTCTATTGTTCAACTTGGCAGAGGAGAAAGCTGTAAGAGACTCCGATATTCAGACCAACGATATAATCTTCAATCGCCTGACACCGCTTCTTGGTTTTGCTGATGATATTGACATAATAGGTAGGTCTGAATGGGCTCTCAGGGAAGCGTTTATAGGCCTTGAAGCAGCTGCAAGACCACTTGGTCTAGAAGTCAACGAGAGGAAAACTAAGTATATGAGAGTTGGTGGTGAGGTGGATCTGAACTCTCCATTTGAGGTAGGTTCCTTTAAGTTTGAGAGAGTGAAAAGTTTTATATACCTTGGGTCTGAAATTAATAGCAAAAATGACATGGCTCAAGAAATACAAAGAAGGATCACGGCTGCCAATAGATGTGTCTTTAGACTTGGCAGACACTTAAGAAGTAGGTACCTCTCAAAGAAGACCAAGCTGATCATATACAAGACCCTTGTTCAGCCTGTTTTGACATATGGCTCAGAGGCTTGGACGATGACTAAAAACGATGAGATGAAGCTTAGTGTGTTTGAGCGAGGAGTCCTCAGAAGGATTTATTGTCCAGTAAAGGAGGGTGATGTCTGGAGGAAAAGAAAAAATAGGGAGCTCAGTTCTCTCTATACAGACATCGACGTAGTCACGTATATTAAACTGGCCAGACTAAGGTGGGCAGGGTATGTGGCCAGAATGAGCACCGTTGAAATACCAAAGAAAATAATGATGGAAGAGCTGCACCTTGTAAGACGGGTAGGAAGGCCGAGGACGAGATGGTTGGACAACGTGGCCTATGATGCGAGAACCCTGCTTGGTGTATGGAACTGGAGAGCTGCAGCAGAAGACAGAGCCAACTGGAGGAGGCCCAGTCTCGGTAACGGGATGTCGTGCCACATATGATAATGATGAGTAAGTAAATGGGATTTTGAGTATGGGCTTTATAAATGTTTTATTCTTTTATCTCCCTTTTATTCATACAATGTGAACCTGCACCACAAGTTTATGATCATACTACCAACACAACCTCTGTTATTTTAATTCAAAATAGTTGCCAGTGATGTCTTGAAAGGTTTTAATTTTATCGCGTTTCTTATCATAAAAAATATGTAGTTTTTTTTCATTTCATATAACTGTTGAAAATGAAAGCTTTACAAAATTTTAAACTCCTCATGATATAGCTGCATAATATCCCAGTTAAATTAATTAAATCCTCACTTCCATCCATTTTCCCAGCACCTGGAAAACTGCCCTTGTTTGTCCACTGAACAAAACCTCTTAATCCCGCAACCCCCTAATGATTTCCCTTCAATTTCCCTGTTATCTAACCTTTCCAAACCTTTAGAACAAATTGTGCAATCCCAGATATCCCCACTATCTTAAACAAAATAACCTTTTGAACTACTTCCAGTCCAGTTTTAGACCTGACTACTCTACTCATTCTGCCCTCATTAAAATCTCAGAAGATCTCCACACAGCCATACACCAACAGAAACTCACCATCCTGATTTCTCTAAAGCATTTGACTCAGTTGACCATAATATCCTCCTAACCAAACTTAAAAATATTATCCTTATTATCTAGTGTCCTTAAGTGGTTCCAATCCTTTCTCACTGGTTGCTCCCAGTATATTGTAGCCTCTAATAACCCTCCATCAGTGTCTCTGCCCTTGTCCAGAGGTGTCCCACAAGGTTCCTCTTTATCTCCCACCCTCTTTTCCATCTATATCAATAACCTCCCTTCCTCTATCATGGACTATCAATATCACCTATATGCTGATGAGATCCAAATTTACCTTTCCTTCAACCCGGTGGATTCCTCTAATGCTATCCTGAAACTGGAAAAAGACAACAATAGAATATATGCATGGACAAATCTTAATAGGCTCACATTAAGACAGAGAAGACAGACAAAAGCCATCCTGATTCCTGATTGAATCCCCCTCACTTCACAAATCCAATTCAGTACCTCCCAATCTTCTCCTGAACCGCTCATCTATCTCCTTCCATACCACCATTAAAAACCTTGGCCCTTGATCAAACCCTCTCTTGAAAACAACACATCTCCCAAAATTTCCCGCCGTCCTATTTCCACCCTGAAACAGTTTAATCATCAATGTTATCTTCTTCCATTCAAAACCCGTCAACTTCTGGTTTCATCTCTTGTTTTCCCACACTTCGACTATGGCTACATGGTGTATGGTGGACTCACAGGAGAACTTGAAGCTAAACTTGAACGTCTTGAATTGCTCAAAACGCTTTATCTTCGGGATCTCGAGGTATAAGCATATTACCCAGTTTTACACAGAGTTGAAGTGGCTTTATCCATCCTACTGCCATCAATATTTCCTTGCTAGCTTCCTGTACCAGGCTATTAGAACTCGGCAACCCTCCTATATTCTACAGATCCTACAATTCAAATGCTCCTTTCAATCCCGTCCCACCAGATCCCGTACGTCCGACCTCTATCCTACTCCTCACTGAACTGCTGTGTTTGACTAATCCTTTTTAATTCTAGCTGTCTCCCCCTGGAATTCTATCCCCTCTGATATTTGACACACGAAGTCAGTATCCTCTTTCAAATCTCTCCTCTTCAAACACCAACTCCATTCCCAATCTAGTTGATCATGAAATGTACTTAAAAATCAAGTCGTAAGAATCTCAAAGCACCCCCAGATACTTGGATTATTTTGTGATTTATTGATATTTTGTTTATTTACTTTACTTTCTCTGTTTATTTTATATTTATGTAAGTTTTTATATCATCACTTTTATTTTATTAGTTAATTATGTTTTCAATATTTAATTGTATTTTATGGACACACCAGAATATTAATATATAATTTGTATTTGTAATTTGTTCTAAAGGGACACTAGTCCCAGAATAATAAAATTATTTTCATTCATTCATAAAAGTTGATGTTAATAAATTATAAAGCTTGGTTTGGAAAATTTAGATTAATTCTTCAAAAAGAAAGTAAATTTTATTCTGGGACATTTAGTCCCCTCAGAATAACTACAATGAACAGAGAAAAGACAATTGTCTGGCGATTGTGAATAATTAAACAACGATTAAAAATAAATTAATTAACAAAGTTCTGTAATCTTAATATTAAAATAAAGAAGCATTTAAAATTTTCATAATATTAAAAATATTTCTTATTGAGTATGATTTAATTTATGAAAGATACTTGAATGCATTTGTACCATTATTAATACGTTTTTTTTCTGTGTTCTTTTCAGTACCAGTTAAAAATTTAGAACATTTATTCATGCAATTTTACCATATTTACAGTAAAATAAATGAATTGAGTCTTAAAAAGCAAATACAAATGCAATGGATATTTGAATGTTCTGCAGCAATACCAGCATTTACTCGGAAGAGAAACACAAGGTTGGTCAGTAATAATTGTCAGTTATCTTAAATAGTATCTTTAAGTTTAATTTCAAAGTTTCAAAAATCTGGTAAACAAAGTACAAATAAAACTTAACCAGATAAATTTACTTCAATATGATGGAGATAGTGGGAATGGGTTAGCTCAGTGGTAGGGCATTGACTTCTAGTGTTTAAGGTCCAAGGTTTGAGCCCTAGCTGATAGCAGATAAATTATTTATTCTGTCTAATTGGAAGTGGATCCAAAGGTAGTTTGGACTTGAGTTCCTCCTGGGACACACCCAGCCTCTATAAAGTGGGTATCCTTTATTAAATAATTGATAAAGAGTGAAAAACCTGGCGGTTAAGAGTGGTCTAGGTCAAATCATATCCTTACACAATCGTTGGCCAAGTAATAGTACTTCCTTACAAAGTACTGAACCTAAGACTGTGATATGGTTTAGGATTAGGTCCAGGTAGTTCAAATTCTTCAAAGGAACCAACAGCAACAATCATATTTACTTTTTCAAACATCAAACATGGGGAGTTCTTTGCCAATTAAAATTAGTATTTATAAGATAAGACAAGCAAGGTACAGAGTGCTTTATTGGTGGATTACAGACATATTCGGGCTTATCGTAAGTTTCTGTATCAAGCCTATAGTCTCTCTATAGAGAGTAGCACCGGATGGACTAACTTCTAGTGGAAAAAGTCGTTACACACTCCCCTACAGTGGGAAAATCCGTCAGGTTGGACGAAATAATTTAAGTTTTGAAGGATGCCATAAACCTGCTAACCTTCCACCCTGATCTTTCAACATACAGGATCCTATAACAGATTCAACCGTATAAGGCCCTTCATACTTAAGATTTAATTTAGCTGCTAGTTTATCCGCCGTCCAAGACAGCTGGAATAATTTAGCTGCTAGTTTATCCGCCGTCCAAGACAGCTGGAATGTTTTCTTGAGATAGTATCGTGCACCAGATCTTCCAGACGGAAACAATCCTTTCGGCGTCTCAAATTATAATGACGACTCTGAGTTAGACTCCCCTTTAGAAAGTTTTCCTCTGCTACATGATGAAATTCGGGCAGTCTTCTCATTTTAAGAGTCCAAGGAACCTGTTCACCTGCGTGAGCCTCGAGAATATCTTCTTGGGAAGCCTGATGTATAGGCCTTCGCTCTCTACCAAAATTCAAAAAGGTGGGACTGAACTTAGTTGAATCTTGAATAGAAGAGTTTAAGGCAAACTGGATCTCCCAGTTGGTTGCTCATCCTAGCATTGTTGTTTCTTCCCTAGTTGCTTATTGTGGGATTTGCCCGTTCCATGAAATTTGCCTGCGAATGGTAAAGAGGAGTAGTCTCTCGATCCCGAACTCCTTAGCTACCTCATTTAAGAGATTACTCATGAAGTTCTTCGCATGGTCGGAAATTGATTTCTATGTTGCACCATACCTATACAGTATGTATGGTCGGAAATTGATTTCTGTGTTGCACCATACCTATACAGTATGTGCGACTTTAGTTTCGATGTAATAACTGAAGAGGTAGCTTTTCTAATAGGGCACGATTCCACCCATCTGCTAAATAAATCCACAAACACAAGCAGATACACATTGCCTTTCGAGCTTCAAGGATAGGGACCTATAATTTCAACTGATACTATCTCCCTTGGCTGCTTGTTATAGCAAGGGCATATTAATCCATGAGGTGGTGTATTACTTGGTTTAACCTTCTGGCATAACTCACATACTAGCTAATATCGTGATATAGTCCAAGCCTATGATATAGCCTACTAACCCGAGCAACGGTTTTATCTATCCCAAGGTGGCTCATCTTCATGACTGCCGGAGATCATGATTATCATATATTATACGTCTCCGTAGATGTTGAGGAACTACGACCTTCCATTCTTCACTGGCGTCCTGAAGCTCTCCCTTCAAAGTGTTTTTTTTTTTATGGTATAATAACTGTCCGTCCTTTATCAACCATCCAGGATGATATTCTGGGGACTTTTGGACTCAGTAAAATTTCTGATCATACCATTCGTCGTTCTGAAAAAATGCAATTGATAGAAGAACTCGAATCGGGACAGGTAGATAAGACTGTGATTGCGGCAATTCTCTATAACACATCAGCCACTGTATTGAGTTTACTCTCACGGTATTCCACCTTGTAATCATAAAGCTGCAAACGAAGAGCCAATCTAGCCAAAAGTCTCGAAGAGTTTTTCAAATTTAGTAATCTTTTAAGACTGGCTTGGCCAGTAATTACCATAAACAAATAACCCTCTAAGTAGTGCCAATTTTTTTCAGTACCAAACAAAACTACGAGGCATTCCTTTTCGGTCACAGTATAATTTCTTTCAGCCGGACTTCGAGTACAAGAGCAAAACGCGATGACTCCTTCGCCATCTTGTATTTTAGTTAAAACTGCTCCAAGACCCATATCACTAGCATTGGTCTGTAATTGAAAAGGCTGCTCAAAATCTGGTCTGGCTAATATTGGTGCTTCTGTCAGAGCTGACTTTAGAGCTTTGAAAGAGGCTTCCTGCTCTTCTGACCAGATCCATTTAATCCATCCAGATAACCGAAGAAAATCTTTTGTAAATCGCCAGTACCATCCTGCCATTCTCAGGAATCTTCTAAGCTGCCCAACATTGTTGGGTGGAGGGATCAAAGTAACGGAACTAACCTTATCAGGACCTTGCTCATGCCATCCCTATTAATTAGGTAGCCCAAGTATCTCACTTCACTACAGCCAAATTGGCATATTGCAGAATTGATACACAAACCTGAAGCCCTAAGTCGACGGAACACTATCCTAAGCATAACCAAATGCAGCTCAAAAGTTGAGGTGCAGCCAAAATGTCATCAAGAAATACTGCCTCGTACGGGTAGAGTTCGGGTCCAAATATTGCATTGGCTAGCCTCTGAGAGGTAGCTGGTGAGTTGGTTAGCCCAAATGGCATAACTTTGAACCTGAATAATCCTCTGCCTGGCACCATAAATGCAGTAATGTCTTTACTAGATTTGTCTGCAAGTGCCATTTACAAAAATTCATGTCTGAGGTCAAATTTTGATAAATATCTTGCCTGAGGAAGTCTGTCCAAAAGAGAAGTCATTTTAGGTATGAAATAGAAATTTTTCCAAGTTACAAATTCCAGCAAGTTAATATCCTAGATAGACTTGGCTATTGATCTTTTGGAATAATTCTTTTGTCAAGAATCTCTCCACTTTAGTCCATTGCAATAACCGTTTCCCAAAACCAAATGAATCAAATTTCATTTGGTCTCTCTGATCGGGGATTGCGATTTGGTTCATCATCAGCGGCGTTAGTTTTGTTTGACCCTCCAAAATTCAAAGATACCTGAAGATATTTTTTCTTTCTTTAAATTGCTATTTTGTATAGCGGATTTTGTAAAGCAGGATTTTACTTTTGTATTGGACTTTACTGATTGACCTTCTTGAGCCATCATCTCAAACACTGTAGATCGTTCCGTAACAAAATTGATCAAGTCCCTATAAGAGGGAATATTTGTGAGAGCTAGATTTAGTTTGATAAAGTCACCCATGTCCTCAATACTTAAAGCCGATAACACGGAAAAATTATTTTCATGCTCAGATAAAACTCTCTGCAAGTTATCAGCTAAGGAGGTGTTTAAGGGAGTGAAATCCGTCACCCTCTTAACATGAAATCTGGCGAGTCACTTTTATTCTGATACTGAAAGACCTATGCATCATAGACTAGGGAATAATTGTCTTCATCTAGAGCGAATCCAGAGATAATTGACAGAGCTTCCTCCCTTAAGCTACTCCGTATATAATGAAATTTCCCAATAGTTGATAGATAGTCAAAACCATAAAGTCAAAAAGAGAATAAAACCCATTCCATTCTTCCAATTTCCCCTAAAATAACGGTAAATCAATTTTCAGAAGCTCCTGAGGAACAGAACGAAAAGGGAAGGGGTAGAAACTATCTCAGGTTTCTTTTCAGGATTATGAGCTTGTAATTTGTAATAATTTGCTAGTAATTTGTAATAATTTTTGTAACAATTTGTAATAATTCGCTTTAGTGGTATCACTAAATCAATGAATGAGTTTTGCGCTGCTAAGGTTTCAATCTTATCCTTTTTATCAATCACAGTGGTGTTTTATTCCTGTAATTTGGACTGAATCCTTTCAAACCGGGGCTCGTAATTGACTAGACGATCTTAAACTGGTTTAAAGTCGACTACAGTATCGACACTCAAAAATTTGGATTTGGTAAAAATGTACTGGACTGCGGCAAAGATATCCTTTTCTCTGACACTATAACATCCGGATTAGTCATCACTATAAAAGGAAACAAAATGTTAGAATAAGCAAAAAAATTAAATAAACTCACTCTGGAAATCAATAACAAAAATTTAAAAAATGACTTTATAATACAAAAGATTAGATAAAGATAATAAAAATTAAATTGAACTCGGGTAACTGCCTTTACAAACCCAAAGGTACAAGTTGCATAACAGAAAAATGTTTCCTATTAATACATAAGTTTAAGATATAAATTAATAAAAAAAAATCTTAAATAAATTAAATCTCTAAATAATGAGTTGTCATATCTTCAAAATTCTGTGATCTGTGACAACAAAAGTTATTTTGAAATGTTAAACAAAATTGAATTCTTAAACAAAATTGAATTCTTTCTAAAAGTTCTGAAGTTACAATTCTTATTACTATGTAAATAAAAGCAAATTAAATCTTAATTTTAAATGTTAAGAAAATTGTCTATTGAGACTTTAATTTACAAGTAAATAAAATTCTGTGTTCACATTTAGTATATATTTATAATCAACTTAAAAAATTTAAATAATTCCTTCAATTTTGGAATATTCAACTTCTACAGTTATAATATTGTACAACTACGATAATGTTATAAATGATAATACAATATAATCTATAAAGAAAATTACAAAATTGTTTTCCTTCCAATTACTTCGTTATTTCTCATATAAATAGAATTTTGAAAGAAACATTAGACTAAGAGAATTATTACCATTTGATGTTCGTTATTGTAAACGGTACTAAGTCAAATATGCTCGAATTCCTGTTAGCTACGGCAATTCGCCTCTTTAAATTAACCACAGAAATACCAATATTTCCTCTTAGTTGCTAACATACAAGCAACATAACTTACATAATCTTTGATTTTTTCTTATATTATAAATAATTTCATCAGTAAATTATGATAAGTGTTAAATTCAGATTGCTTATTAATAATTTTACAGACATGTAAGCTATTAATAATTAATCTTCAAGACATCACTTAGGAATTATAGGATTGGGATCTAAAGGAAGCCAGTTCTTTTTTGACCTGTTTGGAATAGTAATTTAGTAATTGTACAATTTCCGATCATCAGGATGCCTGGTTCTTTGCCAGATGGTCCTAGATTGGCCCTTGGATTTAATAAGGTCAGTAAGGTTTAGGGGCAGAGGATTCTTTTTAAGGTATTTTTTGGAGGGGAGTGGTGAGGATGCAGTCCAGACTGCTTGTTGAATAAAGGTGGTAAAGGAACTCTCTGCATTATCTAGGTTTTGAGGGGATTTTAGGGATACTCTAAGGTCTATTGCATATGTTATTGTTTGGTGGAAAAGGTTCCAGTTGACTGGGCCTCTGATGAATGAGGGAGGAGATAACCTGGATAGGAGATACGGAAAGGGTTAGATTTAGCGGACTGTGATCTGAGGAAAGGTCATCGAGCCGTAGAACTGAGTAATTTAGAGGCCCTAGACCTTAGTGAATGAAGAAGTCGAGGGTGTCAGGATTACGATTAGGATCAGATGGCCAGTATGTAGGAGTATCAGGGGGAAGGATGTGGGAATTAAGTGCAGACAGTAACGATCGCCCGCTGGAATTCGTGGTTCCCCATTGCTGATGTTTGGTGTTAAGGTTTGCACCTATAAGGAAGTGGTGTCCTAGGGAATTAAGAAAGGAAATGAAGTTAGGTTCAGGTATTACTATTTTAGGTGGAGAATATGCTGTGACAACTGTAACAGAAAAAAGTGAAGTTTAAATAAATATTGCTGAGGTTTGTAGGAAATTGTGAACTGTTAAAGGATACAAGTGATAAGAGAGAGACTGGTGGATGATGACAGCAGTGCCAGCATGTGCTGTTCCATCAGGGTGGTCAGTTCGATATATCCTGTAGCCAGGTATGTTGAACTGTCGTTTGTTAGTCGGGCCTCAGTTATTAGACATATGTCTATGTTATTGTCCTGTAGAAAAAAGGTTAGTTCGTTGATGTGATTTCTAACATCATTCGCGATGAAAAGGAGAATGGAGAGGGGTTTAATTTATAGATAGTTTCGACCCCATTGGTGTGCTCTAGGTTCACAAAAAATAGTGGTAGGGCTATTTTGTTGTTTGCACCTTGTTGCTCTTTATTATATACGTTGACAATTTGGGGGACACTGGAACCAAGTTCTGTCAATTCTGCTTTGATTGCCTCAGTTGAAGTTGATGAGTGGAAGCCTCTTATCACCACTCTTTGTGCTCTCTCTTGGAATAACTGATATTATGGAATTCCGCATTTGTATCTGTCAAGTATTTTACTAATTTTTTATATGATTCAGGAGAATTGGCATCAACTTGGTGTCATTGGTTCGACTTTAACATATGTATTTACCATTGTCAAGTAATTTATTTAAATGCTGGCAAAATAGCAGAAAATTTTTTATGTTTCTTATGAATATTTGAGGTGGTTTTGGCTCTCTGGGGATTGATGGTATTTCCACAGTTTCTTCTGGAGCATTAGATAGTAATTGGTATGGGTTAGCTGTAAAAAAATGTTGATTCTTCAATTTCAGTGGTTGTTTCGGTGGTCATAATTTCTGTTGAGGTACCAGGTTGTTGTTCGTTCACTGCATCAGTTGCTCTATCAGGTGTAGATGGTGGTGTTTTTCTATAAGAACGCCTAGGCTTTTGTTTTACTATTTCTGTTAGAACGCCTAGGCTTTTGTTTTACTATTTCTGTTAGAATGCCTAGACTTTTGTTTTACTGTTTCTGGTAGAACGCCTAGGCTTTTGTTTTACTGGTGAATCACAAGAGCTATTATTGCCTAAGCTTCTTGATCTTTTGTTCTTTCTAGACATTATCATATGATAATATCGCATTTCATGTCAACAACTATTGAAAAAAAAATTTTTTAAGTACGTAAAAATTACACAGACTGATAGAGGGCCGATTGATATAGGATAGCTTCCTTAGACAGCCCAACAGGCACTTAGACTACTGGGTCCTTAGTGGGGGAACTGTAGATAAGAATGGCCACTCTATCTAATTCTATGGTTATTTACACTATTGTTTAAACTTAATAAACAAGCGGTTACTCACCCTGATCATCTGTTCGAGAATGTATTTTATAATTGTTCAATTGCACTAGTTTTTTAACATAACTGTTCACTAATTCACTGGTAATTAAGATACTTGTGAGAGACGATGTAGCAGGTGGGTTGAAAGATACTAGCGCATGCGCAGAACTCAGATATTCAAATTAGCTTTTTAATTGTTGTTTTGTAGATATTCAAATTAGCTTTTTAATTGTTGTTTTGTGCAGAACTTTTATAACTCTAATATACTGTTACTGGAGCCCTATTTGGTGAATAAGATTTACCTGCGGTATAGGAAACTTGGTGACCAGGGCATCACATAATGCTAGACCTTTTTTTCAATGGTTAAATATATGTTTTAGGGTATTGATTGAACCGCTAGTATAGGACTGACCTATTTAGGTACAGTAGGGGGGAAAAAAGAAAGAACAGATAGAATGAATTTTATTTTTAAAAAATAATCTTATCTTATTTTTTTAGATTTCTTAATGTTTCTCCGAAAATCATAAATATACAGAAAAACAAAGGAGATAATGGTTTTCGAATGATTTGGAGCAACATAGGTGAAACTGAAGAATTTTTTAAGAACATATTAAATGTTTAAAAAAATAAATTTTGTAAACAGTATAGCTTGTTATATATTTGTCAATTATTGATATTTCAGTTGAGAATCAATATTTATCCTTTTATGTATTTATTATTAATTATTAGTTTTATAAAACTATTTGAGAATATTTTTTAAGTCAAATTATTTATAGCAAAGTTGTTTAGTCTTGATATATTGTGTTTTCTAATATGTTTGTTATAAATTTATTCATAGATTATCAGTTAATTTAGTTTCCTTCCTCTTTCATTCATGTTTAATATATGTAAGGAGTCATTTTTCTTCTGTTCAACTGTTATATTTTGAGTTCTCTTGGATGAAAATAATTAAGTTTCAATTGAAATAAATGCAATATTAATTTAAAATACTCATTAAAGATTGACTCTTATTACTACAGTCCTCATTATGATGTAAATATTAAGTCAGTTCAAGAAACATCACGTAAAAGAGTGCATTAGATTACAGAAATTAATTATAACATAAACAAATTTATCAAAGGGACCTACTTTGTTTTATTTGCGTTTACTACATTATTTTTTATTCAGTGTATAACTAAAATAGATATTTTACAATACCTTGTAATTTATGTTCTCAATCTATTCCCAGCAGACAAGGTCCTATTTTTTTTTTTACTTTCATTTACCTATATATGTAATATATAGAACAGTAAAGTATTGTGATCTTAAAAATTTTGTAATCTAAATTTTCAACAGAAATACACCTTTTGAGATCCCTTGGATACAAATAACAAAGTCTCATAAAATGGTGTGTGTGCGTGTGGGTGTTCAAATTTTACAATTCAAATTTTATTTCGATATTACATTACATTAATTAATTAAATTACATTTCGATATGTTTACAATACCTTGTAATTTATGTTCTCAATCTATTCCCAGCAGACAAGGTCCTATTTTTTTTACTTTCATTTACCTATATATGTAATATATAGAACAGTAAAGTATTGTGATCTTAAACATTTTTCAACCTACATTTTCAACAGAAATACACCTTTTGAGATCCCCTGAATACAAATAACAAACTCTCATAAAATAGTGGGTGTTCGGGTTCTTAAGTGTGTGTTATAATGCAAAATTGAAATGGAGTATTTAAGATTTGTATAAGCTTAGGATGTTAAAGCAACTTTTCTGTCAAAATCTGCTTACCGGAAGTGCCACTTTATTCATCAGGTCAATGTATTATTAATTGATTTTTAATTTAAGGTAGGTCTTATCCTCATTGATGTTCTTTAACAGGGCTTAAACACTGAATGTATAAATTCCTTTCAATGGCTAGTAGTAAGAGTTAATTTTCTTTATACATTTTTTTTTCTTCTTTTTTTAGTATGAAACAGAATTTCGATCACCTTTCACAATGCATTGTGAGTAGGTATAATTTTTTGTTGTTTTTCTTGCCTTCTACCTTTTCTATTCACAAGATGGTATTTTTTTGAAGTGTATTTTATTTTATTTAAAAGTATTTCATTTTTGATGTATCTTCTACACAGTGTTGGGCATTTACTCGAGTAAATGTCCAGCGGTGACGTCATGAGTGATCACTCTTAGAAGCTTCCCCATGAATAAATTTGAAAATTACTCATGAAAAAGTTTTCCTCCATGAGCAAATCACTCATGAAAATGTTATCTCCATGAGTAAATCACTCATGAAAAATATTAACATCATGAGTAATTTTGAAAAAAAAAATTTTTTATTTTATATAATTAATTTTTTTTTTCACCTTTCGGATTTAATCCATATCAGGGTCGACCATTAAGTTTTGGGGGGCGCTTTTTATGAAAATGATATCGAATTTGAGATTGGGCCCCCAGGACTCAACTTTTTGTAAGTTTTCGGATTAAACCGATATCAGGGTAGATTATTATGTTTTCGGGGGATCTTTTTATGAAAATGCTATCGATTTGAGATTCGAATTATTGTAAATTTTTGGAATAAACCGATAACAGAGTCGACTATAATGTTTTTGGAGGCGCTTTTTATGAAAATGCTATCGATTTTGAGATTAGGTCCCCCGGGCCTTGACTTTTTGTAACTTTTCGGATTAAATCGATATCAGGGTCGACGATTAGGTTTTCGGAGGCGCTTTTTATGAAAAAGCTATCGATTTTGAGATTGGGCTCCCCGGGCTTCGAATTTTTGTAAGTTTTCGGAATAAACCGATAATAGAGTCAACTATAATGTTTTCGGGGGCGCTTTTCATGAAAATGCTATCGATTTTGAGATTGGACCTCCTGGGCTTCGAATTTTTGTAAGTTATCGGATTAAACCGATAACAGAGTCGTCTATAAAGTTTTTGGGGGTGCTTTTTATGAAAATGTTATCGATTTTGAGATTGGGTCCCCTGGGCCTTGACTTCTTGTAACTTTAGGGATCAAATCGATATCAAGTTCGACGATTATGTTTTCGGATGCGCTTTTTATGAAAATGCTATTGATTTTGAGATCGGGCCCCCTGGGCTTCAAATATTTGTAAGTTTTCCGATTAAACCCCTTCGGGAGCCCCAAAATGCTCAATCTCAAATCCGACATCATTTACATAAAAAGTGTCCCCTAAAACATAATAGTCAACCTCGATATCAATTTAATCTGAAAAATTACAAAATATCGATGTCCAGGGAGCCCAATCTCAAATCTGACATCATTTTCATGTAAAGCTCCCTTGAAAACATAATAGTCAACCTCGATATCGATTTAATCCGAAAAGTTACAAAATGTCGAAGCCTGGGGGGCTCAATCTCAAAATCAACAGCATTTTCATTAAAAGCGCTGCCGAAAACAAAATAGTCGACCCTGATATCGGTTTAATCCGAAAACTCACAAAAAGTCGAAGCCAGGGGGGCCCAATCTCAAAATCAACAGCATTTTCATAAAAAGCGCCTCTGAAAACATAATCGTCGACCCTGATATCGATTTAATCTGAAAAGTTAATAAGTCGAGGCCTGGGGGACCCAATCTCAAAATCGATAGCATTTTCATTAAAAGCGCCTCCGAAAACATAATAGCCGACCCTGATATCGGTGTAATCTAAAAGTTACAAAAAGTCGAGACCCAGAGGGCCCAATTTCAAAATCGATAGCATTTTCATAAAAAGCGCCCCCAAAACATATAATTCGACCCTGATATCGATTTAAACCAAGGTGACAAAAAAAATTAGATTATAAAAAATAAAAAATTTTTTTTTCAAAATTACTCATGGCGTTAATATTTTTCATGAGTGATTTACTCATGGAGATAACATTTTCACGAAGGATTTACTCATGGAGGAAAAAAGAGTGATCACTCATGACGTCACCGCTGGAGATTTACTCGAGTAATTGCCCAACACTGCTTCTACACACTACTCCCTATGTTTGTATATATATATATATATATATATATATATATATATATATATATATATATATATATATATATATATATATATATATATTGCATCTTAGGTAGATCACAATACTTGTCTAGTTTTTCACAGTATCTTCACATGTTTTCACTTAAACGTCTTAAGGAACATATATAAATCATTTATTTACTCTAGTTATTATTTTTTTAATTTTTATATTTAATCACTAAAATTGGTTACCTATAAAACTTATTAAGCGTTTCTTTCCAATTTTATTTAGGTATTAGTATGTTTTTGTTTTTTATATCAATATTATAATATTGTAACCCTTGTACCCATCTTCTTTCCTTAATATACCCTACAAAACTATGTTGCTATGCTGGAGCTGGCTGTTAAAGCTATAAGGACCTATCTTATAGGGACAATATTCAATGTCTTACAGACTATATTCTTATCAGCATTAAACATTGTCGGTCCTGGTGGGATAGATCGAGGAATTTGAAGGGACAGCAATGTAACTTGGCCTAACGATAAATGAAAGAAAAAATCTGTATATAAAGTCCACAAGGAATAATGTAGAAATACAGGAATGTGTACAAATTGATCAGCACCATTTTCTAATGGGAACAGAATTTAAAAAACTTGGAATGATAGTGACTGACCAAAACAAAATGCAGGGCGAAATAAAAGCCAGAATTACAGTATACAATAAGTGCTTTTATGCTCTGGAAAAAGTACTGAAATCAAAGGGACTGACATGGAATGCCTAAGTAACAATCTATAAAACCATTATAAGGCCAGTCGTTATCTTCAGGTGTGAAATGTGGGTTTAGACACAGAAAAATGAGAGTTTTCTGATGATTTGGGAGAGAAAAGTCCAAAGAAAATAAATGATCAGTAATGAATACAGAAAAACGACAAGCTGTATGAGCTCTGTAATAATGATAATATTTTAGTCACTGTCAAAAGGTGTCACCTTAAATGGCTAGTCCATGTAGAGAGGATGAAAGAAGATAGTTTGCCAAGAAAACTTCTCTATAATCACCCAGGAGGGGCACACCTTAGGGAAAGACCCTGGCTGTGGTGGATCAACCACATAGAAAAAGACCTCAGTCATTTGGGTATAACAAAATAGAGAAAAATAGCAGGTCTGGCAGAAGCTTGTTTCTGATTCCCACGTCTGTTAAGAACTGTTGAGCTGATTATTAATAATAATAATGTTTTTTATCTCTACCTTCTTCATCAATGGGATCCATTATCGTGTTGTTAAAACATAGTTTTAAAAAATACTATCCATCAATTTATTTCAACTTTATAAATCATATTGAAATAAGGGCCCATTCTTATGGTATCACAGGCTTAGTTATTGAAAATACTGTAGATTTTAATATTGCTCAATCATGTATAGAGTATTATTGGCAAAAGGAGTTGGCAGCCCCATCGCTCAGGCATAGTATCGCTGATAGCCACTGGTCCTTCAGGTTGGGAGAACAGTACACTGACGCTCACTCATCTACACTGTAAACTGCACACTACAATCACACCAACACTACAGACTAAGGTCACACACATTAGGACCACCTTTCCTAGGTACCTGCTCCA